AATAGAGTTCTAAAACGTCAAACAGTAAGATCTGGTGAAACAATTAGTAGAGTTCTCCATATAGTGTTAGCTTCAATCTTGAAAATGCATCCGATTCTTTTTAGAAAACCAGAACCGATACAAGATAATTCAACAGACGATAGATGGAAATGGTTTAAGGTATTGTATCATAATTCTGAAATTTCTTTTAAGTTAATTACTAATACTTTATACATAAATGGATACTAATAATGTAATTTAATTATTTGATGAATATAGGGATGTTTGGGTGCTCTAGATGGAACGCATATTAAGGTCAATGTATCTTCAATCGATAAACCTAGGTACAGAACAAGAAAAAATGAAATTGCGACAAATGTACTTGGTGTTTGCACACCAAACATGCAATTCATTTATGTTTTACCTGGGTGGGAAGGTTCTGCAGCTGATGGTAGAATACTCAGAGATGCCATTAGTAGAAGAAATGGTTTAAATGTTCCACAAGGTAATTTATTAGGTCATTAATATATACATACATATATGTATATATATATATATAAAAGAATGTAAACTTCTTACAAGTTTTGTATATTAATTCACTTTTTAAATTAAAATAATATAGGGTGTTACTACTTATGTGATGCTGGATACACGAATGGAGAGGGATTTCTTACACCATATAGAGGTCAAAGATACCACTTGAATGATTGGAGAGAAGGACACCAACCTACCACCCCTCAAGAATATTTCAACATGAAACACATTCTCAAGCCAGGAATTGCATTGAGAGATGTTTTGGCATATTGAAAGCGAGATGGGCAATTTTAAGGGAAAAATCATTTTATCCAGTGAAAACACAATGTAGACTCATTTCCGCTTGTTGTCTTCTCCATAATTTCATAAGATCTGAGATGCCAATTGATCCTATTGAATCTGACTATATTGAATATAGTAGGCATGTTGAAGAGATTAATGAGGTAGAAATGATCAGACATTGTGAGCCAAGCAGTGCTTGGACTGAGTGGAGAGACAAATTAGCAGAAGATATGTTTACTAGTTGGTTGTCGTCACGTACTTTAGGATAGATGTTATTTTATGTTATGTATGGACTTTCACCTTGTATTTTATCTAATGTTTGTGGTCATTACTTTTATGCATTTGACATCTTTATATTTTATGGCATAAACTTTATTAAATTTTATGTATTTCTCTTCTAAAAAAATTCAAATTTTATTTGTTATGGACATTCATTACTTATGACATTCACTACATTTGATTTCTATTATGTTACTTTTAAATTTAATTTATGATTATTATTGATAATGATGACATGTTTTATGTTATGTTATACATTTTTTATATACATCTTCTTAGATTATTTCGAAGAGCAATATGTCAACATCAAATATGGAATCTCAAAGGGGGGGAAACGGACATCTGGAAAGGTTAAGTCTATAGTTTCTAAAAGGACGTGGAGTAAACAGGAGGATGCTACACTTGTTGAATGCTTACACATTTTGGCAGAAGACCCACATTGGAAAGCTGATAATGGAACATTTAGATCAGGTTATCTATCTCATCTTGAAAATATGTTAGAAATCAAGCTTCCGACATCACAAATTAGGGCACATCCACATATTGAATCTAGAGTGAAGATACTCAAAAGACAATATAATGCTTTATCAGAAATGTTGAATATTGGAAGTGGATTCGGTTAGAATGAAGAAGAAAAATGTTTAACTGCACCAAAGGATGTGTTTGATGATTGGGTTAGAGTAAGTATTTTACTTGAATTTATCTTCTTTCTGTACTCTTTGTTATCTACATAGGTAATTGTAAGATTTATTAAATATGCGATTTTATTATATTGTAGAGTCATCCAACTGCTGCTGGATTGAGAAACAAGCCATTTTCATTCTTTGACGACTTTGTTCAAATATTTGGAAAAGAAAGAGCAACAGGAACAACAGCTGATGCAGTGGAACATATTGATGTTGAAGACAATGCATTTATAGATGCATTACTTGAAGACGAGGGAGTAAGAGATTCTGAATCAAGAGAGGATGTTAGTGTTTCAACTTGCCAAACATCTGCTGCCACTGCCTCTACCCCTGCAATGAAAAAAGTAACTAGCAAGAAAAGGTCTCGAAGTGATGATGGGTTAACCGAGCTTGTACATGAGATAAGTAAGTTTGGTGCTGCATACCGAGAAACTGCCAAAGAAATTAAGGATATTACTGCTTTATTGAAAAATGAGGCAGAAGGAAATGATCGAAGAATGTCGATTTTCACAGAAATCTTGAAAATTGAAGGCCTATCCAATGATGAAATGCTTACTGCAGGAGAGTATATTAGCAAAGATGCGCACAAGGTAGATTTCTTCTTTTCTTTGCCAAAAGAATTCAAAAAAAGATTATGTGATTAAGCAATTAGTTGAATGCCATAACTTTAAACCATCCTTTTGACTGTGGTCCTTTTACAATTATGTCGGTCTCTTTTTGATTATAACTTTAGAATATGGTCCCAACTTTTTTGTGTAGGTTATCCAGGTATATGTCAAGCTTTTGACTTGGAGAATTTTTGTGTATATATTATAGCCAACATATATGATTAAGTTTAGAATGTCACGGCTTTTATCTTTTGTAAGTCTGAACATTGTACAAACTTTTGATGGTTAATGTTATATTTCTTTTTGTTATGTACGTTTATCTCATGATACTAGTAATTTCAAGCACAATTTTACTGATAACTACTACGAAAACAGACATTGTTTCAGTATGAAGTTTTAACTCTATCTATGATAAATAAGTTATCTTTTTATTACTTATCAGCTTTGCATAATGTTGAAAACATTTTGATATTTCGATATAACAAATTAAGTTAAATGAATTTTCAGATTTTCCAAATGATTTTCTAAGTATATTCGATAGAATTATTCGAATATCAAAACATTACTCCAAATCTTTCAAAGATCATTTTTAATCCTTACTCAAAGTGTAAAATTATGTTTTAATCTTAAAACAATTTCAAAATAATTTTACAAAGTATTTCGAACCATTTCAAAGCCAAACATTCCAGATTGCTCAGAGGGAACCGATTCCCCCTAAATGGTTTGGCTCCGAGAATTCCAGTATGCTCGGAGGGAACCGATTCCCCCCCCCCAGGGGGTACCGATTCTCCCTTGTATAACGGTCGAAATATTTGAATTTTACACTTAGGGAATTGATTCCCCATAGGGGTACCGATTCTCCCCACGCTCCAAACTGTTTTATTAATTGTTTTCACACTAAAACGGTTATATTATTTTCTCTAATTATCTGCAACGTTCAAAAGTGATTCAAGGTGTATTTAAGCAAGCTTAGAAGCCATTGATAAAAAACAAGAAACATCAAGCAATTAGAATCAAGAGAGAATCAAAGAGAAAGCATCGAACCTCAAGTTTGAGCATTTCAAGCCTATTTTTCATTCAATATTCATTTTGCTTTCAATAACACTTATTGTGCTCAATTGTATTTTTTTTGAGTGTTCTTTCTTTGTTCTAGAATTGGGCAAACATATTTGCCTTGTGAGGTTTTTCTTGTAAGTTTGCAAATTTGTATTTCTCTTTGAGAAAAGAGTGTTCTCAAGAATTGGGGTATATTCTTGAGGGAGTTGTAAGGTTATCTCTTTGGCCTCAAAAGAAAGAACAAATTAGTGAATTTGTTGGAAAATCCTTAGTGTGGATAGCTAAGGTAGTGGACGTAGACTTTGGTTGATAAAGTCGAACCACTCTAAATCGTTGTGCAATTTCTTTCAATTTTCTGCAAAAGCTTCCACCAAAATTTTTATTACCAATTCACCCCTCTCTTGGCCGATTCAATCAATCGATTAACTCAACACATAACCATTACATTGAGACAATTAATGCTATGAAAGAACACATTTGTCTTCAGAAATGTCGACACAAGAAAATTTGAATTATGTTTTTGTAATATAAATTAATGAGATAAATAATAATAATAAAGTATGCAAAATTAAGTATAAATATAAAAGATAAATAAACAAATTATTGTATATAGAAGATATAATAAATATTATATCTTAGATAACAAAAATAATTTACATCTTTTATTATTATGAATATCTAAGAAAAATTTTCACAATGTAAACATTTAGTTAAATGTTGATGTAAAATTTTAATATATTTTTACATAAATTATATAAAATTTAATATTAATTAAAATTAAAAAAAATACATGATATATTTAAATACTCAAGTAATATATTATCAACAAATAGAATTTTTATATAAATAATCTTTATTTAAATATTTAGAATTTCATTTGTTAAAAAAACAAATATAGAACAAGGACAATTTGATAAAATATACATTCCAGTAATCTTTTATTCCTCCAACTAAACACTGTAATCTTACATTCCTGCCAAACCAACCAAACACAGTAATGTAACATTCCCAATAATCCTATTCTCTGATAATCTTTTATTCCCACTGGTAATCTTACATTCCGTGAACCAAACGCACCCTTAAAGGAACAAGTGCATATCCATTATTTTAAAAAAGTTATTAAATTTACTTTTTGTTAAAGGAAGAAGGAAAAATAAGACAATTTGTATACCAATTTTTTTAAATGAATATTAAAAAAATTGAATTTCTGAATCCGTATCTTGAATGACAGAATGAGTCTATACAGACGACTGTCGTTGCTGTTTTTTCTGTCTGCTTACTTTCAGTTCACCGGCCCCGCATAATGCTTATATCTGATCAGCCACCTCCCTGCTTCTTGCATAGTAATTTAAGAGGTTTAGGTAGATTTCCTGCTCATCACTATTTCCCCTTCTAAAATTTGTAATGATAAAAAGACATGTTGACTGAATACACACAGCATACTGTGTGTGAAAATCTAAGGAAGCAATAATTCATTGGCTTATCATAATCTGGATATAACCATATTCACAAAATTTTTGAAGGCTTTCTTTGCCCATAACAATGATTTCTACCCTCAAAAGGGTAATTTAATACATGCCACAAATCTCCTGGGCCAATAACAAATAAGACTCCCCCTCCCTTCCCCAGCAGGAAACGTAGTAGTATAAAGTAGGGGAAAACGAAGACGTGAGTTATGTACAAATGCCTCTATATTCTGTCTTCATTTTCCCAATACTCTTAAGTTTAGATCACCAATAATATACATAACTTCCCAAAAAACCAAAAAAGAAGAAAAAAGGGTCCATTTTTCCTGTTAATTTCTAACCTGCAAATTGAAACGACCTCTTTCCATATTGCAATGCCCTTGCAGAATAACCAGCTTCATCTGCATAAAACCCATATAGCTCATTCAGTGTCCACTCTCCGTTCAAGTTGAAGAAAATTTTGATACCAAAGAAATTAACATAAGGAAACCAAGTAAATAATCCAAACGGTACACAGAGGCAAGCACCCAGAGACTGCTAGTTGTAGATAAGTAGAGAGATGAAAGAATTTTGACAAGTTTTTATACTCTTAATTTTTCTCTGACGAATGCGGTAAGTTAGGCCTATAGAAATAGGCAGATTACGACAGCAATATACAATCTTGAGTCCTATTTATGAGTTAACCTACCTGGATAGAATTCTAATCTAACTTCTACTTAGATTAGATAAGTCATAGTGTACAAGTTTAATAAGAAGTGAAACACCAATTACAAAGTCTTTTAGACTTGTACGGCTACATTCTACACTAGCTGTAAAAGGTAGCCATCCTTAAATAATTCTCAATCAAGAGAGGGTACAGAAATAGTCGAGTAAAAGCCTTAAGAAGCCAATTAAGAAACAATGTGACGGACGGGTCAGCATTTATCATAATAATATTACAACAGTATGATAATTCCAATTGTCTTAGTTTTCCCTAATATGCCAATCTAACATGTAATAACTCTATAACAAAACTACCTAAATCTGTAAATTATTAGTACCTGTACACTGCTGTTACAAAGGCATGCAAACCCAACCAAGCAGAACCCTTTCGCTGTTGGAACTAATCCGTGCACAAGATTTTTCATTCCAGCTTAGAACTGGAAGGCCCGTGATATAAGCTACCTTGTACAGCTTGCAGATGCGGTGTTTGCTGTTGTGACTGCTGCTGCTGCTGTGTGGGTGAATTATGCAGATCTTGCAGTAATTGCTCTTGCAGCTGGCAGTGCTGTTGAGATGGGGATGGTGTTGGGGATTGTTGTATTTGTGGCTGTTGTGGCTGCTGTGCCCCAGCCTTGTTCCCATGAGGTGGTAAGCCACCCGGTAATTGTCTCTGATCTAACCCTTGGCTGACAGAAGGTACTGGAACATTACCAGCTGAATTTGTAAGAGGGGGGCTTCCTATGGATCCCATTTGAGTGGCCACAGTTGGCATACCAGGATTATACACTGGTTCTGATGATTTCCACTGAGAACCAGCAGAAGAAGGAACATTTTGCACTGTGTTGTTTGGTAAATCGATACCAACTTGGGACATTGCTTTGGCTGTGGTTGTACTCATCTGTGAAGCATTGTTCATGGGCTGTTGGTCAGCTTGAGCTGGCTCAGATTGAGATTTGCAGGAAGGATCAGAATTCACTGCTCGACTCTGTTGAAGCATCCTTTGAACAGCAGTTTGGTTTTGATGAACCTTCTTTTGGTTTGGCTGTGACTGTAGCTGCAAATGCTGGGGGTTGGGACCCACAGATGTTGGCAGGATGCATTGATTCACAGCTGATGGTGTATGGCCAGAGGGCACTGTGAAAACTTGACCTTGAGAACTATTATCAGAATGGGAAGCCATCTGCTGGAGTTGCTTTGTAGAAGGGGGTGTTGCCCCAGAAAATTGTTTTTGTTGTGGCTGGGAAACTAAAGGTTTAGATTGTTGGACAGGGCTCGTACCAGGCTCGGAATACAAACCTTGACCTTGCATCAACTGCGTGGTTTGCTCTCCTTTCTCAGCAGTTTGGTTTCTAGAGGCCACGCTGAGGCCATTCAGATGAGCAGGATCAGTAGAAAGGTTATGATGCACCAGCATGTTCCCTCTTCCCACTCCCTTCAAAAGTTTAGTTTGCTGTTGAGACTGTGTTTGTTGTCGTTGCTGAGGATGGTGCCTGCCAGATTGTTGATACTGCTGCTGCTGTTGCCAAGGTTGCCGCTGCCATTGCTTGCCTATCTGATTGTTCAATCCACTAGCACCAGTTTGGGGATTCCTACCAAGCCCATGAGGGGCCAAGTGGTGTTTCTGTTGGTGCTGTAATGACATACTAGTCACTGATGAAGATGGAGAGGGGAGTGATACTGGTTGAGTTGCAGCTTGAGATTGAATCTGGGAATTATTCTGAAGAGAAGAGGTTATGGGAAGTTGGGTTTGAGGTTGGACGTGTGGCATCAAACCACTAGATGCAGCGAACTGTTGTTGCTTCTGTTGCTGGGGCTGCTGTTGCATTTGCCTTTCTTTAGCAAGGCGCATGGCATATGCTTGCTGCTGTGGCCCATTAGCATGATTGGAAACCTGATTTTGAGAATGATGAGAGTTGCTCAGCACATGAGACTGCTGTGAAGGCGTTTGCTGCTGGGGATGACCAGGATACGACTGAACAGATGTAGTTGATTGATTAGGGTAAGCAGAATTCAACCCATTGAAAGCAGGGATTCCCTGGCTGGTCCCTTGAGCCTGCAATTGGAGCTCAGGTACCATTAATTGCCTTTGGGGGTCTGGACTGTGGCCAGACTATCAAAAAAAGAGAAGAAAAAAAATCAGACGCGAATATTGATATATAACAATTAACCATTTATATGGAATAGAAGAAGCCCAAACAGCTTGGAGGCAATACTATGTTGAAGCATAGACTTGACTATACTGCCTTATAAATGTAACTTACTCGCATCATGTGCTTGGTGTCACGAGGCCTCAACATTGAGTTTACTTGACCAGAACCTGGGTGCATATGGACGGGGCTTGGCATTCCCACCAAATTGGAGGAGAGCATGCTGCTAGAGTTCAGCATTGCTGATGATGTCATCCCTTGGAAGCCTGGCCTTGACATTGGCATGCTTCTATTTATACCACACATCATTCCCAAATTATTTCCACCAGGTAGCATACGAACCATACGATCTGATCCAGACACAGCCCCAGGGAGAGAGAAGTTTGACTGCTGAATATTCCTGCCAGATAACATTTGATTATATTGCTGCATTCTATGCTGCTCATCAGTTGGCAAAGATGTTCTGGGAACATCATTCCTACCAATCCTGAGAGAAAAATGACCCAAATTTTGTGCCATTAGCATACGGAGGTATGCAGGCACAGAGAGAATCTACACATTAGCTTAATACCTCACAGATGCATTGAGTGGTGTAGACGGTGATGCTAAATTACTACCAAGAACCAGACCAGAAGATCCCTGTAGTGAGGAATTTGCTCCAGAGGCAGGAGGCGTTGATCCCGCAGCTCCTTGATTTGATGCTGCTAAACCACTTGTGTGAGAAGCCTGATATCCAAGGGGTAGAACATCTTGACTTGATGCAGCAGCATCACAAAGATCGAGAGGCCTTTATCCAGACAAATAATAATAAAAATGATATTGCAGAACATTGCAATAAAAGCGCTAGCAAGAAAAGTGAAAAACTACAATGATTGAACTATCAAGCTAAAAACATTAATAAAAACAGGGACAACAAAGCTTACGTTAGAATCCCTCCATTTAGGTTATTAGGGCAGACTTGTGAAATAGCAATAACATGGGAGTTGTGGACAGGCACTATCTGCTTCAAACCCTGGTTACCATGCTTTACAATACACAATGAGATAAAGGCAAGTAAGGAGTTTGGAAGAATCAAGGTGAAGTTAAAAAAAGACATTCTAGGATCCTTTGAAGCATTAAGCGTGTAGGTTTTGTTCAAATCCATACTTATTTCCACACACTCAATTTAAATAAATTTCATACACTGGGCCACAACTTTGAGATGTACAAAGGCAGCAAAATTCAATAATTTCAAAGAAAATCTCAAACTTCAAAATCTCCATAAATTGTGTGATTCAACTTATCATACTATTTATTAATGTTTTATACTACCACTCAAATACTAAATGAATTGATCAGACTAAGCAAAAAGTACAAAAGATACTATGGATTCACATAGCAAGCCTCTATTCTATAAGTGGGAGTACAGAAGAGGTTATCTAAAACCAACAGATTCCTTTATTAATCTTCCTGTATATCCAAGAAGCCTAATGGTAATGATTTTTAACTTTTAAGAAGTTGCAGCTGGAGGACAACGGGACTACAGGTATGCTGTTTCCATCTTATGATTTATTTTCATAATTTTCTAATAATCTACTGAAGTTCGGTATTTCATTCCAGTCTTGGTCTCTCGGAGCACCGACAATTACAATATGTGAAACATCATTCACAATATTTCTTCATCTAAAAAGAAGGATGACAACATACAGTTGTTGATCAAGATGCACCTAAGCATGTCAAACAGAATCCTAAAATGACAATTTGCCTTCGTTGAAGAATAAATTCTAATGGTTCAAACTAGGAATACAGCAAAATTGACATTACTGAAGATGACAAGAAGACTATCTTCAACTGCTTGATTAAATCAGCCTCATCTGTTCTTAAAACTACCAACATGTCAGGATCTCTAGATATTAAAAATGTATCACAGATGTACCTGAGTCTGCCAGCAGTGCTGTTTCTTGCCAACAAGTACAATTTTCTCGAAATGAGACTTGAGAGTATCCTCTTCCATCGGCCCTTGCAAACGTTGAAACAGCTGTCTCGCACTGCCCTGCACAGCATACAGCAATAGACACCAAACATAGACTATAAGATTAGCTCCATTGAACACATCCGTCATCAATACATTTAAAAAAGAAATAGAAACTACTAGTTTTAGGGACAGAGAGGACCTTGGGAATGCCAGGCAATGTGGATGGATATGACAGAGAAGATCCTGAATCATCAGCACTGTCAGCTCCATCTCCACTTCTATCCATTAAAATTTTATGATGTTCCTTGCATTCTTTAGGATTGCGGAATACGCACTACAAGCATTGAGAAGTTCATGAGAAAGTTTCCAAATGGAGAAAAATGAATGGAGAACTGCTGTAGAGTGTAGATATAGAAAGGGATTATAGACAGATGAAAGAACAAGTAGCACTTTAAGAACAGTACACATTATTGGTGACATTTAAAAGGATGCACATTGGAAGGAAGTCCTACATAACAGAACATATTTGTAAAGACATTTAGCTCAAGCACTAACCTTAAATTGAAGGATACCGTTGATGGCATCACTTACAAGCTCCCAATTAGGACCCATGTCATGAACTAGTACAACAAGTGCCTGAACATAAATGCAGTAACATCTCAAGGCCCTGGTGCTAATGCTGACAGAAATAGAAGAATACGAACAGGATAACAAAAACTAACCTGATCTTCAAATAGTGACCACGGACAACCAGAACCAGGCTCCCCAGCAGACATCTAGAAGCAGTTTGCGTGATTATAATAATTACAAAAGGGATAAGACAACTATGAAGCATGTGATCAACCAGACAAACAAGAAAGGGTCAAGTAAAAAACTACCTTGGGTGTTTTGACTTTTCTAACTCTGTCACGACCATGACTTAATCTAATGATTTTGTTGGGGTTGGACATATTGCTCATTTGTGATCCCACTGGTGAAGGGATGGATCCACTGGGATTGATGTCAAAAGCATTATCTGGTTGTTGCTTAATTACCTTCAGCTTCGTGGCATTATGTTGCCCATATAAAACTAAGAAAAAGGATAATTCAAAATGTGAAATGTGAAGAACATGACACTGGATAGATATATCTTACCAAGTAACCAACCATTAACTCAAATACGAGAAAATAGAGCTTTACCGCTGGTTCCATTAGGATCAAAATGATGACTCTCTGATCTCTTTTTGGAATAATCTCGCTGCCAAAGAAACGGCACCATCAAACAAAAGATTCTCAACTAAAAAAGAGCACAATGAACAAATAATGTGGCAAACATAGAGGAAGAACAGAAGAATATCAGATAAAGTTCAATGCTGCAAAAAATGTCTTATGACTTGAGCACCCTCATTTCTATCATGCAAAGAAAAATATCAACTTGATCAGTGTACTCCTTGCTCTGATGTAAGAATGAAAAGACTAAATAAAAATAAAGTTTGAGGTTTTCCTTAATCAAGAAAACAGAACAAATTTGACAGAAAGGTTATTTAGAATTAACTAAAATATTTTAATTACTTTGAAAAATGAATGCGTAAAATTGCACTTTAAAAGTAACATACGCACTAGCCTAAAATTGTAATTACTCATTAATACAACTTTTTCTTTCTTAATGATAAAATAAATATACTATTTTAAAAAATAAGCAAAAGAAAAGAAAACAAGTCTGTTAATATCAAAATAAACATGGCATAATCTTTATAACAAATTCACCTGTTCATTTTGAGTGGTAGATTCCAGCTGCCAATCCTGATCATATGTAGAACCCTACCAAAAGCACAATTGAGGCCCTTAGAAACTACGAAGACAAATAACGAAACCATCCATACCATTCCTGAGGTAAACAAACCCCAGTCAGTTAACACAAAGGAATTCCTACGCACAAGATTCTTGACTTTTTTCTTCTTTTTTGGTTTTGTTGGTGTTTCTGCATAGTCATATGGAAGCTGCCTAGCAAAATCCCCAGTTGATTCAACCTCCATGCTTTTATAAATCTGGAATCCTCCTTGCAAAGTACTCTGATCATCCTGAAAAGAATTATTATCCCCACTGGAAGCATCTGTTTTTGTCGGAGCAGTGGCACTGCTAAAAGGACTTAAGAGCCTCTGTCTGGACCCAGTGCGCACACGTTTTGTTGGAATAGAATGAACATTTAAACTACTACCTGGCCTTTTGCCAATCAACATGGACTGCTGAGCACAGTTTCCATATGACAAATCAGCACAGGTTTCATATGGCCTCACAGGAAATGATTTCATAGGGTTCTTCCGCTTCTTGTTTAGTTTTGATGATTTTCTACCTTCCAAGGCTCCAGGCAAAGAATATGTACTTGTTTCTCCTTCATCCTCTTCACAAAAAAAGTCACCATATGCAAACTCTGAATTTGAACAAGTAGTAAGGAGCAGAAGACCATTAAATGACAAAGAAACACAAAAAAAGTGTAATGATTACCCGCTCCAGCATCACAAGCAGATGTTTCAACTTCCTCTTGTGCACTACTCCCAGTTTTCTGAAAAATAAAACAACAATCAACATTGGGCAGAAAAGTTCAAAAAGCTACGCAGAGCAAATTAGAAGAGATGGAGATGCATATATGTTGTCCATGACAGTTTGATTGGTGCAATTTTTCATATGCATCATATCAGGCCATTATACTGTTCTTGAGATTTTTATAAACGACTCTTTTTTATTAGATATAGGGGAAGCAAAAGAAAAAGGTCACGTATGAACTCATTAAGGAACTATATTTACCTCGATCTGTACCAAATAAGATTCAATAGATCTCCTGTAGGTTTCCATAGAACCGGAAGGAACAGAATAAAAGAGGCTTTCCTGGAAACAGAGCACATAAAAGTTAAGAGCAAAGAATGTAAAATAAGGAAAAGAAATATTTCCATAAGATACAACTTATTGTAAGAGATAGATCAAATTCAAAAGCCAAGAATACTGTCTAAATAAATGTTAAAAGCTAAGGAAAAAATTTAAGACATACATCTGTTAGGTGTTCATTCCAAGGAATGTCTATAATGCCGACATTGGATATACTGTCAGGTTTTCCTGGTGCTTCAGCTTGAAGTGCATGAACAGGGGAGCTGCTATATTTGAAAAATCTAAGAGCATATGCCCGAATAGCAAGATCATTAGTCTTTCCGGGGAGCTCCTGCTGCTCCTTACTCACATCCTGCCACAAAACATGGTGCACATAAAGAGATGATAGAAAGAACAATCTAGCATATTGATATGAAGTGAATATTGAGAAATGTTAATAAGAGAGAATCTTAAGGCAGGGAAAAAGAGACCAAATAACACTAGAGCCATTCCAAATATTTTAGTAGATATCCTTGCCCAACACCCAAGCCTGTCCAACTTCAAAGGTTATTTTTCTTTTAAATGTTAAAAAGTTAAAATTTTATATTGATATTAAATATATTTTACAATTAAAAATTACGGCTAGGCCCAGGCTAAAAGTATCTTGTCTGAGGCTCAAATTTGTATAGTGTACCTAAGTTCTTATTTTTGAACTGTAACCATCCAAGAGTTATCCATATAACTACCTAAGCTCTCAATAACCTCTTCTCTTCCTTCCCAGTTCAAGAAAAATTACCTTCATACCACATTGAAGAACAGAACTTACAAGCAGATAAGCAACATGAATAACGTACAAAACCAGTTATTAGAGAGGATACGGAAAAAACTAGCACCATAATTCAGTAAGAAAATTAAACATAAAAAATTATCATCATGACATTCATTGCAAGAGACATCCATAACTACTTAAACAAAAAGACCAAAAAGAGCACAACAATATAATCAGTACCATATCCAGTTCCATATTCTTGTTCTCGGTAACTTCATTGGCTCTTAACCCCACCAAATCATGACCAGAGATCTTTGGACCAAGACTTCTATCCTTACTATTTAGAAGCACCTCTGCTGAATGCCAAAACTCCATGACAGCATTGGCAAGGGTTAAAGCTACTCCTTTGAGTTTCCGGAACTGATTTAGTTCTTCATACTTCAATCGTGAAGTAAAAGCAGCAAATCGACATAAATGAGCAGCAGCAGTCATCTTCCAAAGACGCTCCTTTAAGAACATAAAGAACAAAAAGTATTTAAGGAAATGATGTCATATGTTCCTAGTCAATTTCATATACAGCTGCAATACTTGATTAAATCTAATAATAGAAAGGCTTTCAATAAGAAGGAAAGGAGAATACATAATATGGATTAATTTATATATAGTAAAATGATACCTGAGCAAAATCATTTGCCAACCATGCCATTTCCTCAAGCACAAAATCCCAGTGAGATTTTTGTCGATTCTCCAAGGGCAAGGTACTGACAGATAGCTCTGCAGTCCTTTGCCGCTTAGCCTGTTTACATAATGTGAGCCCTTTTAAACTTTTTAAAGAAAAATAAAATCTTACATCTAAATTTAATAGAACAAAGAGCATATATAATCAAACCACCTCTATAATCCGAGCCTCTTCCAAGATTGAATCTTCATGCGTCTTTTCCACCTCTTTCACATGATTATCCAAACTGGTTGGAACATCAGTATTAGCAGTAGGGGTTTTTCCTAACAAAGTCTTCTCAGGAATCTCACAAATAAAGTTACCCATGGTGACTAAAGGCCTACTAGAAGAAATGTTTTCACTTTTCGAGTTAGAATTATTACCCAGCACAGTACTAGTTTTCCCATCAGCTTCTGATACAGGGTGACAGCTTTGTTGCGCCTCATTGTTGGAAGGTAAACTCACTTCGTTTTGCAATACAGATCTAATTTCTTCCTCCACTTTTCCCATAGAATTGTTAAGAGAATGATTTTGGTTCAAGGAAGTATTAGTATCATAAATAATAGCAACATTATCAACAGACATGGTCTCATTATTTTCTTTTGACAATTCACCAACAGCAAAGTTTAGTGATTCCTCTTTTTCGGATTTTTTTTCCATGGGCTTTCCTTTAGATTCAACATTTTTTGGATTAATACATACACCATTATCATTATTTACATCTAAGCTTAAGCTGTTTTCAGTGCAAGCGGACTCCGAATCTAATACCTTCACCCCTCGTGTGACACTACTATTTTTCCCTTCAAGTTTTATGTCTTTCCCATCTCTTTTGGCATCACCAGCCCCATTTAGCTTTTTAGAAATAGTTTCATTTTCAGCTTTGGTGGCACCTGTACTAGGTGGACATTCAAAACCAGTTGAAACTACCTGTTCCTTTCCACCAACAGGATCAGGTTCCTCAGAAACCAAGTTAACTGGAGATTTGCGAGCCTCCAGTTGAACAGCTTCGTTAGGTACTGTAGCATCAACCTTGCTATTGGATAGATCACCTCTTGATTGGTCAGTTGTTGCTTCGGCAGCCTGCTTACCATCTAACTCCACATTCAACTGATTACCAGAAGTTTTCACCTCTGAAGCCAAATCACCATTTGAAGTCACAAATTTTCTAGTATTAACAGAGGGTGTGTTCTTCTCCTTTTGGTTATTTGTTTCTGATGTCAAAGCCTTATCATCCTTTGATGATCCATGAGCGGGTAAAGAAGAGCAATGACCACCTCGACACTGAATCATCTCTGTTGAACTTGATCGTGCTCCATCACGATTTATTTTTGATCTGTTCCTTCGAGCATACGGGCGGAAAATAGCAGAATCTTCTGATTCCTTGGCATTTTGAGCCCAATCCATCTGAGAAGATTGCTCTGATGGAACAACAGTATTCCTCTTACGAGAATGCATAAATTTCCTTTCACTTTCAGGCAACTCATTTTCACCATCAAAAAGTAAGAGGTTATCGGCACTATTGGGTTCACAAACTGCAGGAATCCCTGGTCTACCACTACTCTCTACAGAATCACCATGAGGTGAGGCAGTCAATGCAAAACTACCTTTTGCTTCACTGTAATAGTAATGGACAGGTGATACATCAGCTAGTTACTCAATTTAGATCCATAATTCAGCAGCGCACTACAGCAAGAAGAACATACCTGATAACAACATGTTCTGCTTGCTGATCATTAAGAGACGTAGACTGGACACTAACTGATGCTACATTGCTGAATTTGAAATCCAAGGGATTGCCACCCTGAGAGCAATGCTTTTTATCATGAATATTAATCAATAAAAATTAGAAGTAGCAAGAGGAGATCAAACACATACTTTCTCAAGAAACTCCAGTTCCCTTCTTCTTTCCTCACGAACATCGTACTCCTGTCTGTCATAGACCAGTAAAAATGAAAAATTGCATGTGGTTAGGGATGTGAACCAAGAGCACTTTTCAATAGAACTAAAAGAATTTTTGTAAGCAATGGAATGCAGGTATAACCTAAGCTCTGCTTGAGCCCTCTCAATAGCTGCTCTGGGCGGAGAGGTCTTGACACCAATCCCATCTCCACCATCAACAATACCTCCCATGGAATCAACCTCAGCATTTACTAAGAGAGCTGATCCTGAGTTACATCCATGCATCCCTACCTAAATATCTACTGGCTGGCCCCTCCCATTGAAGCAAAGGGGAAAAAACGAAAGAAAGAAATAAGGAGATATTGGTGAACACCTACAAGCTACAAAAGAAGTTTGAGGGTAAAAATCAGAATAACAACTAGAGTATACAGAAACAAAGGCAAATAAATGAACAATGAATTAAGAAGAAGCACCAATGAACCACAAAAATATTAGAAGGCAGTTATGACATTTTTTATGATAAGGACTGCTTTAGAAGGTTTTTTCTGGAAGATAACAAAATGTACGATAGAATAACTTGAACTAAATTAAAGAATGAAGAGAGACAGTATCCTTCTTCTTCTTTTTTAAAAAATATTTTCCACAATGTGTTGTTACTTCCCAGAAAGGAAAAAAAAAGGTTTACATTAATACATAATTATATCGTCAATCCCACAAAGATTTCATATCTTTCTTTCTTTAATTCCCCCCTCCTGGACAGCAGTTTCATAGCAACTTAAAACAACCAAATTATCTCCAGAAGCCATTAAAGTTCACTACCTGCCTTAAGTCTATATAAAAACTTGCGAAACAAAGTTAAACTTGCATGAGGAGAGAATGGCGCCACATTTGAGACAGTTAAATAATATAATAAAGGAAAAATGTATCTCGGCATTAATTGGAAGGAGAAATGCAACGTTGAATAGTAGTAATTAACAATTAAACCAACTGATGCCTCCCAATAGGCATACTTCTTGTCATATACATCCATACACAGAAGCAAAAGATAGCACGAAAGGAGTTTGGCGCCAGTAATTCTCTACAAATTCCAGGATAAGAACCACAAGAAGTCCAAAATCAGTTGCTAAACAACAAAGCCTAGAGCGTAATGAGCTTCCCCTGCATTTAACTTCCAATTAATGCCAATAAACATATATGAAGACGCTGCCACGTAAATCCACAAGCATTCAATCGAAATGCGAATGGAAAATCACAGGAAAAGACAAACTGATACCCTAAATGCATTGAATCACGGAAAGTGTTCCCTAATTTGGAGCATTACTCGAATTCTAGGGTTTTCAATACGAAAAATAACCTGAATTGGGGCACGGAGTAGTGCAATTAGGAACTAGGGCAAAGCTCCGAGGACCTCCTGAACGTTCCCGCTCTTTTTAACACTCTATTTACCTCTCAATCACTCTCTCTCTCTCCCGGGGTTTTGAAGCTACGAGCCCTTTCTCAAAGTTGTTGTGCTCAATCAAAACGACATGAATTAACCCCGAAATACGACACGTCCCTGTGAAATGCAAGCCATAAGCACGTTGTCGAGTCTCTCATATCAGTTTGTCGAATCTTTAATTAACTCTATTAACCCTCAGTTTAGACTTAAATTAGACACCGACTCTCCTTAGATTTCCCCCCCCCCCCAGTTTAATCTTATTGACCTGCGTTGTTTCGAGGAGTATACGGTGAGAAGTGATTTTTGAAAAATAATTTATAGATTATCGGAAGAAATAGAACAAAAATGGTATCATGATTGTGAAGAGTTTTCAAAATTGTCATTCATTAAAATGTCGAATTTTAAATGTTTCTTTGATCAGGGATGAATTAAGAAAGGTTTGCGAGCATAATTATCTTTTGAAAATTTAAATTACTTTATATTTTAAATATTTTTATATTTTGTATTAAAAATATATTGTTACTTTTCTAAAAGATTTATAAATTCGTCTTTTATTAAAATTTTATAAATTCATGTACTCACTATGAAATCGTGCTAAAAAGAGTACTTTACTAACAATATTAGCCAAAACATTTTCTAAAAGTAATAAAGCTCTTCCATCTTATGTCGAAATTAAAAAAAAATAAAGATTTGGGCTTACATATATGAATATAGATGTTTGTGTAAATGATTACATCCTTTATAAGAATAAATATAAGAGTGCTCAATCTTATCCAATTTGTAGTGAATCAAAATGGAAGAATGATGACAAATATGAAAATACGACCAATCAACATAAAAAAAATGGATGTTCCTTGTTCCTATATGTAATGGGGTAAGGAAAGGTAAGATAGTAGGATGCCTTCAACACTAGGTTGAGAACAACTTCCGTAGGAGACCTCCAAATTATGAAATATCCTCCATGGGACTCGATCCCACGACCAATCAACATGGTTCTAGCAAAATGGTTGTCCAAAATATTTTACAATATTTTACCAGTAACTCAAAGCTTGCAAAGATTATACATGTCATTAAATATTGATAAAGAGATTACATGACATGACATAAAAACAATCCTTATAGTGATGGGTTCATGTAACATCCACAGATTCTCTAGTTTGGGGGAAAATTGATTTATGGGTAATTTTAATCTTATTATTATTTGTTTTACTTATAATTTATTATTATTCGAATATAGTGCTGGCCTAGTACATGTGCCAGATGGACCTTAGCCCAGGATAACATGTTTGAGGGGCATCAGACTGTCGGGGTTATAATAAACATTCGTGAAATACAAAGGCTAAATAATAAATATGCATGTTTTGACTCGGGGACCAAAAGGTATTAATTTAAAAACAAGCATGACTCCCTCAATAATAAACCCATTCGCCCGACAATGAAATACCTTGGACCCTTATTAAACGACACCGTTTTATTAAAGTTAAATAACACCTTAAATTAACAAAACCTAATTTCTGCCACACTCAACCTATTACAGCGCCGCTCTGCTCGCCCTTCTTCTCTTCCTCACCCTCGCATGGCCGAAAGCAATGGCTCCTCAAGCCAGATAAAATCCGACCGACCACCATATTTTGTTGGCCACTCCTCACTCCGTTCACTGCCAACGACAGCCCGAGGGGCCAAACGACTCCCTAATCGACCTAAACCGCTCGAAACGATTCTCCTAACCTCTCATCTTCTCGACTGAATAATCCCCAAACCCATGGACGCCATTTTCTAACCGTAGATCGGTGAAGCTCCACCTCTTGACCACCATCCACGACAATGGATCAAACCCAAAGCCGCTCCTAAAACGAACCTGACCGATCACACCTTCACTCCCGACAATAGCCCCGACGCTCGGCCAAGGTAAGTTCTCTCTTTTCTTTTTGCTTCCTTTTTTTTTTTGTTTTTTACTGGAACTGATCCACTTTCCCTGTTTTTTATTCTTTAGATTTAGTTTTGTTTCAAAAATTTTATAAAGCTTAATCTCATCTACAACAAAACCCGTACAGAGTATGGATGGAACCAACAAGACCCTTTTTGCGTTCGAACTGCCCAGGTAAATCCCCAATCCCTCTCAAATTTAGGTTTTAAATAACAATCGCATACACAAAAAAAAGGGAAAAAAAACGAACTGGAAAATAAAAAAATCGAAGAAGAATTTTTCGAAATACATGTACCACTATAGCTTTTCTATTTTTGAATTTGAGATTACACCATTGTTCCTTTTTGTATCCCCTTTTACACTGTAAAATTGCAGATCCTTCTTCTTTTGTTGATCTTTCTGTGTTCGGTTGATTTCTGGTTCTCTATTCGATCGTTTCTGTTTTTCTCTTTTTTGCAGATTCCGACAATTGGAGCAACAACTTGACTAGGATTGTGGTCCCATTCCGGCATGAACAAACAATGTTGCTGTTCTGTAGGCCTTTGACCTATCTGCCTTTGCTCTTTTCTCAAATCGAGTATTGTACATTTGTACTAGGGAATATCTGTAGATGCTGGGGCGTAAACCAGCCTTTCACTGCCCTCCATACCAAAATTTAGGTTCAAATTGGCCCTTTTATTTGACTACTTGGTTTCACTGGGTAATTGTATTCGGCTTATTGGATCAAATAGGTTAAATAAGTACCGAATTAAACGAAGAAGCATTCATGTGACAATGTTAAAGGGACTTTTTTTTACTCTATGCTTTAAAATTTCACTGCTCGATAAGGATAGCAGCGGAGTGATGAACGTTGCTCGTTGTAGCTTTTTGTAAAGTCTTGATTATCGTAAAATAATAGTGGTTTTTGATTCAAAAAATGCACGAAATCATAATTTTAGGTGATATTTGTAATCTTGTAGGTTTTGGTTTGTGTTAGCATTGATATTGTTTGACTATAATTTCTATTATATTTTTTGTTTTAAAAAAATTATTTATGTTTTGTCTATTATACGGTATAAGTATAAGGACATAAAATTATTATTCGTCCGGGGCATTAAATCTCCTTGGACCGGCCCTGTTCGAATACAATTATTATTGATATTTCTAATGTATTATGGGTAATTTTAATCTTATGTAGAGATGGGTGACAGCGATAGCGGCGGAGATGTTGGTAAAGTAGCCGGACAAAAGCGGGGCAGAAGCCATGGCAGTTCAGATAGATCAGGTTTTCTCGCTTAATGAATACAATAATTGAGTCTTTAATGCATGTACTATGAGCAGAGTTGAAGTAGCCTTTTCATCACCTCTTTGAAGATCCACACCACGTACAAATCGGCCAACGAGTAATAGAAGGAAATCTGAAAACAAAGAGGATGATAACAATGAGAAAGGAGCTCCATCAGCAGGAGGTGACACTGATGATCCTGACTTAGACGATAGTTCGTCTCACATGGAAATTGATTAACAGTTTGTCGAGCTGTTACCAACTTATTAAATCTTTTTATCACAAAGAAAGCTTTTCACTGTTTTATCGTTTCTGGTAAGTTGGTAACAGCTCGACACACTTTTAATCTATTTCCATGTTGGACGAACTATCGTCTAAGCCAGGATCATCATTCATCAGTGTCTAAGCAAGGACGGCAATGATGAGAAGGGAACTTCACCGACAAGAAATATCTCCACCGGAGATCAAAAGCAGACAAGGATACAAGTTACAGTCTCAACAATCCAAAAACAAGGATGGCAATTGTTAGTGTGAAAAGCGCACAGCTGACGCGTCACGATCAGAAGTGAAGACGCAAGGTGAATGTTAGTGTATGAATAAGGTAGGTGTGTTTAGCTTAAGTAATTAGCTTAGTTGTTTAGGTTTGAATGAGTGCAGCTAGGTCCTTATTGTGCTGTACCATTCTGTTTTGTTGTTGTTGTTAGAGCTTGGTGTTGAACGGTTAAGAGAGTTGTTAAGCACTGTTATAATTGTCATCTCTAATAACATGAGTTGTATAAATTGTTGGTCTTCCTTGAAGATATAACAGCTTAATCAATAAAAATTAGAGTGTCGTCTCTCTTTTCCTCTCTATTATGATTCCTCTTTCATCTTAGCGTAAGGGTACTCTCTTCTGCTTTGAGAATCCAACATAGTATCATTCGCCAAGTTCTGCTGCTGCTCTGAAATTTCTGTAAAAGCAATGATATCATGAGACAAGTATGACTTCATCCGGCCAAACTTGCTCCATGCTGTTAGTTTGTTTGGAGACAAATGCTGATATGACATCTTGTTAGTTGCCTTAAAATTGTCAAATAATTCCCTTGCAGGTCATTTTCTTTTGCTAAAATTCATGCTAATGCCGTGGCAATAGCACACTTTTTTTTTCTCGAGAAACGCAAATGTTTTTGGGCGTAGTTTATAAACATCCTTATTGCCAAACTTAGTTACCTCGGGTTCGATCAAATTACAAAGTTGAACCAAAATTATAACTCGATGGAAAGAATTTTTATTAGTAGTCGCAGTCTTTCTCAATTTTGTTGATGCTTTGAACTTGAACACATTTGAAGATTTTTCTTTTTACTGGAACTGGGATTGGGGAATATGGCAAGACTAAGGCTTCTATATAAAAAGAGAAAATCGCCTCAGTGACCAAAAAAAAGTTATAATATACGATTTTAACCAACTTTTTTTGGATTTGCCAAAATGACCAACAAATTCGCAACGCGAAATAAAAATCGCAACGCGAAATAAAAATCGCAACGCGATCCCCAGAATCGCAAATCAGTTTCCAAAATCGCAACGCGATTCTTGAAAATCGCGATGCGATAGTACAAATTCGCATTGCGATTTTCCATAATCGCAACGCGAATATGAAAATCGCAACGCGAACACATAAATCGCAACGCGTATCCGTAAATCGCAACGTGTATCCGTAAATCGCAACGCGTATGGGTAAATCGCAATGCGTATCCGTATATCGCAACGCGTATCCGTAAATCGCAACGCGTATCCGTAAACCGCAACGTGTATCCGTAAATCGCAACGCGTATCCGTAAATCGCAATGCGTATCCGTAAATCGCAACGCGTATCCGTAAATCGCAACGATAATCCGTAAATCGCAACGCGTATCCGTAAATCGCAACGATAATCCGTAAATCGCAACGAGAATCTGTAAATCGCAACGATAATCCGTAAATCGCAACGAGAATCTGTAAATCACAACACTGAAATTTTGGGTATATAACACTGAAATCATAAACTAAATCCCTAAATCGCAACTCATTCCATCTCCATCTATCACTCTCTCCGGCGACATCCATTCCTATATCCAACGACATCCTTCCCAATCCGGCAACAAGTTTTAGTTTCGCAGCTCGTCTGTTTAGTAAATTAATTTACAACCATGAAATCATCTAATGTTGATCATGTTTGGATAGATTTGTGTTTTGGAGGGTCATGGGATAATGTTCATGGTGTTTTACAATATATGCCTTTACCCATGAATCTTCAACTAAAATTGTCTTTACAAAAGTTAACTTATGAAACTCTAATGCTACGTGTTTCAAATAAATTGAATTTAGAGCCCCTAAGTGGATTTAGGCTATCTTATCAGAGAAATGGTAAAGTTTATTTGTTAACCGACAATGAAGATGTTGAACGATTCATTGCTTACATTAGTGTTTCACAAGATGATGTTACATTGTATGTTGTTGAACCTAGAAGTAGTATTGTTGGGTCAGTAGCGGGTAGTAATCAACTAAGTTTTTCTCAAAACCCACAACCTTTCTCTAATCCAAATCCCAATCAACTTTCAGCACCAAATTCCGGTTTTCGTATTGACCAGTTAGACGATGATGAGCCAACAGAAAAAATTGTGAGTACTAGTCAGTATTCGAAATTTGGTCTTGGTCAATATCCGGACTTTGATATTGGTCAATACACGGATTTTGATGATGTTTCAGAAGAAGAAACAGACCATGCGTGTAATGATATTGATATTGGTCAATACCCGAATTTTGATGATGAAACAGCCGTTGCCGAAGAATGTAATGTTGATGATAATGAGGAGGAAGTTACGACTGTGAATGAACATGTTGAACATCCATTCTGTAATTCATATAATCCTGAAGAAGAAAAAGAAGAAGAAAAAGTCCCCGAAGAAAAGAAAATGCCACGGGCGTATAACTGGAATATGCCAGAATTACTTCAGATACCGGAAGAAGAGTTGATAAAGAAAGCAGTTGATTGTTACACAAAAGTTATTCGTATCAAGAAAGATGATTGTTTTGATACAAAGGAAGACTTGAAGATAGCTTTATATACGAAATGTGTGGAAGATGGCTATCAACTAAAAGTTAACAAATCAAGCAAAGATCGTTTCGAAACAAGGTGTATGATTGACAAAAACTGTACGTGGCGTATGATTGCAAAGAGAATAAAAGATTGCAAAATGTTTCAAGTTAGGACTTTTATTGATAAACATACATGTTCAAGAACCCAAGTTTTTCCTCACCATAGACAGGCAAACAAAAAGGTGTTGGGTGGTTTTCTGGCTGAGTTAATGTTTTTGAATGGCAGGGTATATCGGGGACATGAAATTATGACTGACATGAATGCTCGGTTCAAGATTAGTATATCATATTCTCAAGCTTGGAGAGCCAAATGTTATGCCTTGGAATTGTTGAGGGGGTCGCCAGAAGCATCGTTTGCCCAACTGCCGGCTTATTGTCACAATTTAAAGCTGAAAAATCCTGGGTCGGTAACTCATATCAAAACAGATAGAGATGGACGCTTTGAGTTGCTGTTTATCGCCATTGGTGCTACGGTTAGTAAATCAATATAATTTTGTTGACTCATTTTTGTTAGTTACATGCATTTCACATTTAAATGATTATATTTCTTGTGTATATTATTTTGTAGATTCGTTCGTTTATTACTTGCATGCGCCCAGTTATTATAGTTGACGGAGCACATTTGAAAGGTCGATACCTTGGAGTAAACTTATTAGCAGTAGCCATGGATGCTAACAATGGGATATTGCCAATAGCTTACGGGGTTGGCAAATCTGAAACCTCTGATTCATGGACATGGTTTATGGGGCATCTTAGGGATTGCATAGGTCCTATTAGCAATCTGACAATCATATCCGATAGGGCAAACTCAATTGACAACGCTGTTAGAAGGTGTTTCCCAGATGCTTTTCATGGACTTTGTGGTGTTCATTTGTATAGAAATCTAAAATCAAGGTCTGCTGGTATAAAAAAGCACAAATGGACATACTGGAAGGCTGTAAAAGCTTATCGGGAAGTGGATTTCAATAAGCATATAAATTGTTTAAGACGTGTTTTGCCTCAGTGTGCTCAAACACTAGAAGATGTCGGGTTTGAAAGATGGTCAAGAGTACATCAACTTGGAGCAAGATATGGTTTCATGACGTCTAATAGTGCAGAATCAATCAACGCTCTAAGTCGTCATTCCCGGAAATTACCCATTACTATGTTAATGGAGTTTTTTCGAGCCTCTATTCAACAGTGGTACTACAAGAAAAGAAACCATGCAGGTATTATTTCTTTGAATTCGTAACTTATCATATTTATATATTTTACTAAGTATTGTTTATTTAAATTTACAGGAACATTGGAACATCGTGTTACACCATGGACTGAAAAAAAGATAACGAAACGTGTTGTGAAGTCAACGTCATGGAGAGTTGAACCATGTTCAAACACTTTGTTTCAAGTACTGGATAATAACTTAAATGGG